ATATATATATATATATATATATATATATATATATATAGTGATAAAAATATAGATTTAAGGTATGGTATTTTTTTATGGATTAAAGTGCTTGATATCAGGGATAGAATATATAAAAATGTAAAAGTGAACATTGAATTCAACACTCAGCGGCGAAAGCCTGTTTCATGCTTAAACGCAATCATCAGATGCACACACACACACACACATCTAAACAAATTTGATCAAATAGTATATATATATATATATATATATATATATATATATATATATGCCACATGTCGCCTTGGAAAGCTTCAGGTAAATACCAAACGAACCGTGAGCTTGACGGATACTCTACCTTCGGACGGAGAGAAACTCAGACAAGGCTATGCATATGTGCAAACTCGTCAGGGGAAAAGTGGACAGCCACCCGGCCCCGTGTATGCGGGGTGTACAGGGAATTTTTGCCTGTGTGTACGTGCCTCCCACCCCCATATATATAGTAATACTATAAATATTATTTATTGGCTCTGTTATAATAAATATATTGAACTCTTTTTGTGCAACAGTTTTAATATTTTATATTACTAGGATCCACTTGGATTATATACCAGCGGATTTATTACCTTTTATATATATATATATATATATATATATATATATATATATATATATATATATATATGTTGTACCATTGGCCAGATTATATGAATAGTCAGGCCTAAACACATGACACATGGCGTTCAAGCATGAAACAAACTGTCGTCTCTTGGTGTTGACTAGTGTCCAATGAGTTGCACAATAAGAGCTGGTGGTTATAAAATTGATTGATACAAAATAACAGAGCTAAAACTTTTACTATAAATAATAAATATATTTTTTTTCCTCACTGTCTTTAGGTAATAATTGGAAATTGACCGTCGTAAAATTTAGATATTGTTTTTAATAACTAATAACCTACTGCTTATAAGCATATATCATGTTTAATATTGTTAAATTGTTTAATTTTGTTAAATTACCACTCCATCTCTTTTTTTCTTAGGAAATGGCTTTGTCTAGTGTGCATAATTTTTGTATCCATTAACATCGGCTCCTTTTTAATGTCTGTGCTGCCATTAACTGCCAATGCGCGGGTCATGATCCATTTATAAAAAAAAAAACAATTATTTGATTTACGTTTCTTCGCTTAGTTTAAATTTAACGTAGGTCATATTTGATTGGTTGATCAGAGTAAAGCTCACAAACTTTATAACCTACCCTTTTTTCGTAAAAAGAGGTTGTATTTTGCTTTTAAATCTAAATAAATTGCCAGTAATTTACAATTGTCTAATGAGATGCATTGATACGCATTGAAAAACGACTGCAATTGTGTAGCGATTTTACGTGTCTTCAGTGTAATATCCTAATATATATATATATATATATATATATATATATATATATATATATATAAATTTCAAGAGGATAGAATCCAGGTAGAACTCAATAGCCAGGACAGAGTAAGAATCATACTTATTATAAAACCCATGTTGTGTGTGTGTGTGTGTGTGTGTGTGTGTACGTTTATATATTGGATCGGATTTCCTACATTTTTCAACCGATTTCAACAAAACTTCAGAGGACTACGTAAAATTACCTTGCGGTGGTTCTGACAGCGCCAAAAATCGGAAAAACACAATTGTTTTTGCACGAAATCAATTTGAAAACACGATTAAGAGGCATCGCGAGAATGAAAGTGGGACAACTCATATCGCGTTGTACTTATTATAAAACCCAGGTTGTTTGTGTGTGTGTGTGTCTGTGTCCGTTTATATATGGGATCGGATTTCCTACATTTTTCAACCGATTTCAACAAAACTTCACTTTTTTGGGGGGCAGGTAGTGTTTCTTATTGTCTTGCACACTTTTTTCTTTATTTTTACATTCAGAATGCTTTAAAAATTCCATTTACAAGACAATTGTTTATAATAAAATTCTATTCAATCGGTAGACTCATAACGATTGAAAACGATGTTTTTGTTTGAGTTTGGGTGTGACCAATTCGTAAAAAAAAAAAAAAAAAAAAAACTAATTAAGACATGCGTGTCCATCAACATCAACCTTAAACAATAATCTTTGTCCATTTTATTTTTCAGTCTCTATGATGGTCGATACTTGATCTATCTCTTACTGTTACATCCCCGGGCAACGCTGGGCTCTACTGCTAGTATGATATAAAAAGCTCAAACACTAATATTCCATATATATATATATATATATATATATATATATATATATATATATATATATAAAATCTATATTTATTAATGAGGGCGTGGAATGTTGACTTTCAAAGTAGGTAAATTTTCACGAATGAAAGCTTCTCACCAGTTTGTCCATGTTCTGAAATGACTTAACACTTCGTCAATGTTCATCATCAGAGATTTTTGGGGCGGGGAGGGTGTTTGAGAGATCATCGACTCTATAGTTTAAATTATTTAAATCGTAAGGTATCTCGTTCGATTCCATAATTCGCTAGTCAATGAATAAATATTATTCTCTCATTTTTTTCTTTCTTCTGTCCTGTCGAAATTCACTTGATGACGTCATTTCCTTCTCAAACGAACTGAGACGCGGCAATCTATTTCCGGATACATTATCAAATCGGAGAAATGTGGTAGTCTTGAATGAGTTCTTTTGCCTCAGGTCTGAGGCTGGCAGAGAAGAAAAAAAAAAAAAAAGAAGAGAAGCGAAAAAGTTTCCGGTAATTAATGTTCAGAGCCAATTTTAATTTTACAACCAAATTGAATTAGTTGCGTATTTTTCAATAAGTACTTTTCGTAGTTTCGTATTTTTCCCACCCGTTTCTCTTACACACACACACACACACACACACGCTTATATATATATATATATATATATATATATATATATACACACACACCTACACAGCTTAACATAAAACATTTTCTTTCATTTATACATTCTTTCTTTTCTGTCTTTTTCTGTCTAGAATTGCGCACACACTCACATACGCACACATATACACACATATATACACACATACAGACACGCATATATACACACACGCATATATAATCACATATACACACGCATTCGCTTACACATATACACACACGCACATATACTCATTTCAATGTCCATATACACGATGAAATATTTCTATAATACGATTCCTTAAAAAAGGTCTTTTATTTCTGGATTTATACAAACGAGTATCCTTGCTTTTTTGGTTTCGATAACTGTGTTTCGCCTGGTAGGTTTGACATTCTTCCAAATTCTGACAATTACGTTCTGAAGTATTGAGATGAAGATTTTTTTTTTTACTATTACAAGAAATCGTTCCGTTCCCTTAAATTTACTCAGTTGTATATATATATATATATATATATATATATATATATATATATATATATATATAAACAGGAGGATCTTCAGATCACAAGACGGCAATCCACCATGAGCGTGTGTTAAAATACCTTTGAACCATAGGGTCAAGTGACATTAAAATCTCTTTCACCAACATAACATAATGCGCTCACGTTCATGTCGCTAACAACATAGACGCCCCAATGACTATCTCTCGACTTCTAATTCTACCGTCTAAGAAGAATCAGCAATTTTATTGGTCCTGGTCTGGTGTCTCGACTTCAGTCAGAGTCCCAGCGCCGTAAAGTTGCCACCCTGTGCTTTTTCTATAAAGGCAACTGTTTGGTTGAGCTCTTCGCTAAGGTACCAAGGGTTTATGAATTTAAACGCTGTACTAGACAGGTGATGAAGTCTCGCCAATGTACAGTTGAGTTGGGTAGATGTAACCGTAAGTTCTATGCTGACAGTTTCTTTTCTCGCACTTCTTGCTTGTCGAACTCCCTTCCTGTTCCATGCTTTTCAGCCAACTTTAATCTTCAAGAAATTAAATGCAATGTCAATCGCTTTCTGTTGTCCGCCTCGTTACTTTTCTTTTGTTCTTTCTCCTTAGTTAAATCTCTGTTTTCTAATTATTCCTCACTGCTGTAACCTAGAAAGCCTTAATGAATGAGGAATAACCAAAACAGAGGTTGGAAATGAAATGGTAATCTTTATAACATCAACAAAATACAATACTCGCCAGCGGCGTGAAGTAGGTAAACCACTGCTAGTGGTGGACTACTTAGACAGCATATTACCCCCACTTACAGTAGTGTCCAACGTATTTATGAGGATTGGGACATACCAATTAGTGTTTATAGGTATGGTATATAACACTCACCTAGTAACCCTTTGTGTCCTAGTGTCTTTACTGCCTTGAAAATAATCGAATATGGTCGAAAATACTTGGAACATTACACGCCATTCGACATCAAACGACTTATTCAGCTTCAGGTGAAACTCACTAAAAGTTTTAACAGTTAATTCTTGTTCGTTTTATTTATACATTGAGGGATTATCTACCATCCAGTCTTCTAGTTTGTGCTTAAAATTAAAATTTTTATGGCATGGGGCGCGATTTTGGTAGGTCTCCCTTAAAAGCATGTGGTATTATGGTGGTTGAAGGATTGTTTGGTGATGGACGAGTTCTTTTGGTGAATGGGTAAAATGTAATGTACGAATGGGTCGCGAATCTGATTAGCTAGGTATAAGATAGTTAGTGTTGACCAGCCTCTACCCCCTCCTCTTTATTGGCCTCGTGCCACAATTTGTACTTCAGTCTTCTAGTTTGTGCTTGATTAACGTTCTACCTGACTTAGCACTTTGTCGTGAGACTTTGTTTACATTGACGACGCCATTACGTCACAAGTTGGAGGGCATTGTAATTCTCCTTCTTTTATATGACGTGTCAATTAAGAAGAAGAAGAAGAAGAAGAAGAAGAAGAAAAAAAAAACGAGGTCTGTCTGAAAAGTAACGGGACCGGTGTCCCAAACAATTTATTTCACTTGCAAACAACAGGCTACATGGTTTCCCCTTCAAAGTAATTACCATCGAGTCTAATGCTCTTTTCCATCCTTCTCTGACACGCTTCTATGCACTGCTGGAAGAATTCGTCTTGGATATCCCTCAGCTTTGTTAGTAAGGCCCTCTTGATAGCCTCCACGCTTAAGCTTGGGGAAAAGAAAAAAAAATCACACGGAGCAAGGTCATGTGAATAGGGTAGTTGTTCCATTACGGTGATGTTTTTCTCGGCCAGAAACTACCGTATACTTAGTGAGTTGTGAGCATGTGCACTGTCGTGGTGAAGTAGGCACGAATTTTTCGTGCACTGTGCGAAGCAAACATCGGAGGATCTCTTTGCAGACTTGCTGATTGATAATCTGTTCCTGTGGCAAGAACTCACTGTGTAACGATGCCCATTGCTCACACAACACATCCAGTCCAATTACTTTTCAGACAGACCTCGTATGTAATGGAGGTCACGATACATTTTTAATAGATATCACGAACTCCGACAGAGACGAGCGGCTGCTTAAATAATCAAACGTGTTTTATGATTGTACGTTTCTTTATTTTCTTCTTCTTTATCTGTGCGCCGTGTCCCTTCAGGGCGTGGGCGATTGTGTCTCTCCATAACTTTTTCTCCTAAAATAAAGTTTGTTTTTACTATATCTCTTAATCCTTGTTCTGTCAAGCTCGCTAGGTATTTTATTCGCTGCTCTCCTCTGTCCCTCTTGCCTTCAGTCGGGCCTGTGAGTGTCAAATTCTCCAAGCTCTCTTTCCTCATTATGTGCTCTAGAAATTTCAACTCTTTCTGAATCTGCGTCCTTTTTGCTTCTATTTTCTCTAAAATTTCATCGTTGTTCCCATGTTCAGTGCATGGTACTCTCAGTATCCTTCGGTAGAACCATATTTATGTTGTCTCAAGTCGTCTCTTCACCCATGAAGAAATTCACAGCCATATAAGCGGATCGATAATACTTTGCTTAGCTTTTGGAATACGTATTCCGCAATGCCAATCCGACGCTCCTCTTGCGCGCAATTCGTCGCTTCTTTTGTGCGCAATCCGACGCTCCTCTTGCGCGCAATCCGACGCTCCTCTTGCGCGCAGGCCGTCTACGCGGCCGTCGGTCGCGTAGCCCTGGTAAGCGTTTAACCCGAAAGGCTCGAAGTCCGAGAACTGCGGGCGACTCTCTGCGCGCAATCCGACCCTCCTCGTGCGCGCAGTCCCGTTCCTCTGCTTTGGTGGCGGTCTCCTCTTGCACGCAATCCGACGCTCCTCTTGCGCGCGATCGGTCGCGTAACACGTGGTACGCGACCGTCTACGCGGCCGTCGGTCGCGTAGCCCTGGAAAGGTTTAACCCGAAGGCTCGAAGTCCGATAACTGCGGGTGACTCTCTGCGCGCAATCCGACCCTCCTCGTGCGCGCAGTCCGTTCTCTGCTGGTGGCGGTCGTCTACACAGCCGGCCGTCGGTCGCGTAGCAGTGGTAAGCGTTTAAGCCCTAAGGCTCGAATCAGAGAAGTCTGAGAGGGAACGTGAGCTGTATTTAGACAGTCGTGAGACAGGTTAGCTTTATCCTACCGATCGGCACATGTATTACGGCTTCACATTTTGCGTCTTCTGTTAAAACATTACCTAGACATTTAGAAAACAACAAACTCAAGCCATGTTCTTAAATGGCCTCGTAAGTTCGAAACTTTGTTATGGATAACAGGCATGTCGCCCAACCCGATATTCAGAAATATCTAAAACGGTTAACTGTATCCAATCACTTTCTCAGATGAATGATTAAAAATGGCTTTGAGTGAATGAACCCAGTAAGTCTTAGAGAAGACTACCCTTCTTCGAATCTCGTCGACTGAAGCTACAAAATAGCAAACAAAAAACTGTACCAAATAACATAAACCACTTCACTTGAGGACATTAAGAGCAGTAACATGTAACTCGTAATGAAATTAATGAAGATGTTAACGTTTCCCACTACTCCAAACAAAAGATTAGCAAGGAAACCTCTATCAGTACAGGAAAGAGCGATAACAGTTACTGGATTAGAGAAACTCATTTTCCTGAGAAAAAAATTTTAAGAGAAAGATTTTATAAATTTCAACCGAATTTTGAAGAAAGAATATGTAGTGGTTTCCCATTGCTTTCTTGGTGGTTTTGAATTCAGAACAGATCTAAACTGACTGCAAGAAAGACCCAACTACCCTACTATTTTACCCATGGGTGGTAGGATGTGAAGAGATGGATACATTCCTTTCTCAAGAGCATTTGAATGAAAGTAACTAGGCCGGAATTTGAATTCGGTTCACCGATTCCATTTTCAGTGCTCGTAACGGTTACGCATATTGATTGATTCTCACTAGGTGGCATACACTTGTGGCTTTGCGCGAAACTAAGCTAACATTAGTAAGCCACTTAAGTTCGATTTTCATTAAGAGCTTTACCATGTTTTGAGCCTTGTTTTAAAAATTAAATGCTACAGACAGTAGAATTATACTCAATTTGTCCTTATCCACCCATTGTTATATAATCCGGGTGGATCCATTTAAGATTAATTATTAAAACTGATCCACAGAGGGATCGATGTATTTATTATAAAAGAGGGGCTGATGATAGCCGCGTACAGAACTGCTTGAAATAGACTATACCATGTTTAGGTATTTTTGTTTTCTTAATATATATATATATATATATATATATATATATATATATAATGCGTAGGAAAAAATAGAAAAAAGAACACGTTGGGTGCATAATCCGGGGTTCCTTAGTATTTTTGTTTTTATTTTTAAGAAGACAGTGCTCCATAAAAAGTAGAGCTTATATTATAATAATATTTTTTGTTTAAAAATATGATTCCTTCGCTACATAAGAGTTCTCATGTTTCAAAAACGAGAGCCGAAATCATCCAAATAATTATTCAAATTAAGTTGGATTGTGGTGTTTAGTCTCATTTCATCTTCAAGCGAAATTTTAGGAATAAGCTATCTCTCAGTTTACGCGTATTTTTAGGCGCGCCTACAATCGTTATGTGTCTGGGGAATTGTCTTTTATTATTGTCCATCTGATAATCTATTTATTTATTTGTTTATTCAAGTGGGTGTTTTATATACAGATCGTATTGCACTGAATTTCAATTTTTTTTTTTTTTTTTGACGACTACAAAAAGGGTTTTTCCTATTTAATGATTTGGCTAAGTTTTTTAAATTTTATTTAGCTATGGGATTTTTTTTTTAATGCTAATTATTTAATGCGAAGTTTTGTTGATGTCTGCAAAAAACCTTTAACTCCTGCCTATGGTTTAATAATTTTTCATTATTTAGAAATTTAATGATGTTAAAACAAGAACCTGTAAAACCTGGGATGACCCATGCCCTTTATGCTTACAATTCCCCATACATATAACGATTGTAGGCGCGCCATAAAAATATCCCTCACTGGGAACTAACTAAAGGATGACCGCAAACATTAGCCTTGAAATAGATACCCAACCCAACCTTAGCAAAACCTCTCAGAAGATGATGAATCTATTGATAAGAATTAACTCTCTGACCACTTAACGAAGGAAAATAGTCTAGCCACTCCCACAATAACGAATTATGTAACGGACAGTGGCCAAAAATACGCGTAAACTGAGAGATAGCTTATTCCTAAAATTTCGCTTGAAGATGAAACGGGACTTAACACCACAATCCAACTTAATTTGAATAATTATTTGGATGATTTCGGCTCTCGTTTTTGAAACATGAGAACTCTTATGTAGCGAAGGAATCATATTTTTAAACAAAAAATATTATTATAATATATATATATATATATATATATATATATAATTATTCATTTAGAAAACTTATAACATAAACATGTTATAAAATCACTACAAAAATAGCCATTTTGTTTCAACACTCCCGGTGTCCTATCAAGTGATGATGTTGAATGCAAAACAAACGGTTTTAAAAGTTTCAAATTAGTTAACGATCTTTCACTAGGGGAAAACGTTGTTCCAAAAGCTAGTAATTGTTGGTTATTGGAATTCATTCCGTATACACCAATTATATACTTGTATATATATATATATATAGAGAGAGAGAGAGAGAGAGAGAGTTGATTGTACAGTTAACGTGCAGTCAGTATTTACTTGATTTAATGTCCCAGGTGATAAATTAATTACTTTATTAATTTTTCTCCATCTTAGGTAAACCTAATGTAGTGATGATGTTCAAACAGGTTGCTGGAAAACGTAACATATAAATCAACATGTTCTGGTAAGCTTGTTTTATTGGCTGAGCACACACACACACACACACACACACACACGCGTACCTCACACACACACACACACATATATGTATATATATATATATATAAATTCCAGATATGTTTTCCATTAATCAGAGTGTACTATAGGATGCATACCACAAAATTAAAGAAGCCTGAGTGGAATTTAATGTCCCTCAGGAATCTTGATCTAAGAAAAGTTGATCTGTGATAATCCTAATATGTGCTGGGTGTACACTAAGAGATACTAAAGTAAGTTTTGCACTCAGTGTCACCTGAGAAAGTCAAAACAACTAGGAGACCTGAGGCTTAACTTAAAAGCCACCAAGTGCAGAATCGGATATCCAATGACACAAACATGTAATAAACGTTACACGAGAGAACAAACGAAACAACAAAGTACCGCCGGTGAGGCGGAAAGAAAAGAATTATTTGTATTGCCAATATAGAGGATGAAGGCGGAATGTCTTTTTGTGGGCGAGGGACGCAATCTGGATAATGAGGAGAGCTGGTAAAGCCTGGAGTTGATTCTTGAGTTGGATCGGTTGACCGAAGTCATTGTTGGTGACAGTGACAGCCTGCTTGCCGACTGACTGACTTCAGTGTTGTGAGCGGTGTCCTTAAAAGTAGATGGTTTGGATACATGACTCAGAGTTTGTTCGTTATGCTTTTGCTTTAGGGATAATGTCCGTGATTGGCATCTTTTAAATTGTATATATATATATATATATATATATATATATATATATATATATATATATATATATATATATATAGGTGTGTGTGTGTGTTTAGTGGGCAGGGGATTTGTTATGTGAGCCGGATATGAAGCTGGGAGCCCCTGCGCTGATAGTGACATTTTTATTTTTAGTTTTGCTTTCATGGCGTTCATATCCGGCCGACAAGTTTTGATGTAGAGTGAAACAGAAAGAGATCTAATTTGAAGAAGAATATAGCAAACATAAATAATGAAGAAAGGAACTGAACCCAGCTGGAGGGTATACACACATAACACAACCGGAATGCAAGAAGTTGTATAAACCCCCGACCTACGATGGAAGAAACGAAATCCTACACTTCTTAACAAGAGGATCGAAAGCGTGAAAGAAATCACTGAAAAACTACATAACCTCCGTGACTGATGTTAATTAGACAGAGTCCAGAAGTGTATAAACTATTATTTTAAGTATGAAAAATTCAGTCTCATATTTCTGTCTGACATTACTAACGTTACAAGTGGCCACGACGAGAAGACAGTAATTCATTGAAAGCATTATGATTCTATCTGACGCTTTATCAGTAAAATATCTCAGTTGAGAATACTCAGTGCGGATCACACTCATTATAAAAGTAATAATAGTTTTCAATTCTACGAAATCATCGCTTTGCACCAGTTGCTCTGTCTGTGAATGTGTGTCCGTGTGCGTGTGTTTGGCCTTATGTCGTACCAAAGGTATTTCTATATTGGGGTAATATGTAGCGAAGCTAATCTGGTCGATCATTACTTTTGAATAATGGATTCGATCCTAAACTGTTACCCCATACAAAATTCAATATTAAATAACCCAACAACAGCTGAGATATTTATCCCTTGTTCCCTGTTTAGGATTGGATTTCCGGTCCCTTCTAAAGTCTGCTTCAGCTCTATACTCCTAACACTTGTCCTTTCCTACGCTAATAAAAGACCACACAATAACTCTCTACCTTGAATGGCGCTTGGGTGAACAATAGTAAAAAACAAAAACAAAAAAAAAAACAAAAAAAAAAACATGTAAAATCAACCTAACCTAAAAAGTAATTTCGTACCAAATCGCTGTTCTTGAATGTCACTCGTAAGATTAAATATACCGCGTTCTTCCGACACACTGGTCACGTGAGTTGTGTGTGGTCAGAAAGAGTAGTATTAATAAGAGATAACAGAAATGGGTAGTAGTAGTAATAGTAGTATTAGACACCATACAAGGCGTTCCTGTCGATTACACGACGACGACGAAAGACAGAGAAATATTATCATGGCTCATCTGAAAAAGACGTTGTCCCTTTTCCGAATCGAGGAGAGTCAGTTTATTTTCACGTCGGGTCTACAAAAGACATCTCTCATCCAAAAGCAAGTCTTCGGAAAAAAAATATCTAGCTATCTGAGAAATACAACCCTTGTGAATCATAATTACCTAAACATACATAGGCAAATCAGTAAGTCTGTAGCTTAAAAAAAGA